GTCCAAACTATCCAAAGCAATGCTATCCCTATCAAAATTGCAATAAAAGCCTTCACAATTGTTAGAAAAAGCAATCCTAAGATTTCTATACAACCACAAAAGACCCTGGGCAACGATAGCAATCTTAAGCAAGAAGAGCAAAGTTAGAGCCATCACACTTCCTGATTTCAAACTGTATTATAAAACTATCATCATCAAAACAGCATGTTGCTGTCATAGAAATCAGAACAGAGAACCCAGGAAACAATAAACTCGCACATATATAGCTAGCTAATTTTTGACAAAGGTATCAAGAATATTCAATGGTCAAAGGATAGACTTGTAAATAAATGGTGCTAGGAAAACCTGGATAAAAAAGGAAGGAAGGAAGGAAGGAAGGAAGGAAGGAAGGAAGGAAGGAAGGAAGGAAGGAAGGAAGGAAGGAAGGAATTGTACTCTTACTCTATACAAAATCAATTCAAATGAATTAAAGATTTAAACATAAGTCCTATGATCTTAAAGTTCCTAGAATAAAACCTAGGAACGTTCCATAACATTGGTCTTGGCAATCATTTTTACCAATCATTTTGACATGAATAGGACAGGCAACAAAAGCAAACATAAAAATGTGGAACTCTATCAAACTAAAAAGTTTTGCACTGCAAAAGAAAAAAAATCCAACAAAATAAAAGACAACCTACAGAACAGAGAGAATATTTCTAAGCCATATACACAATAAGTTATCCAAAATAGACAAGACAGATACAACTCAACAGCAGAATAGCGATCTAATTAAAAAATGGTAAAAAAAAAAAAAAACCTGAATGGATGTTTTTCCAAGGAAGAAATAAAATGGCCAATGGGTATAAAAAGAGATGCTCAATGTCATTAATCATCAGTGAAACACAGATCAAAGCCTCGATGAGATATCCCCTCAGCATGATTAGGATGGTTCTTAACAAACATCAACCCCGCAAGCCCTGAAGAGGAGATGTATGCATGAGTTGGTGGGCTGTCAAACTGGTCCAGCCACTGGAAACCAATATGGAAGTTCCTCAGCACATTCACAACAGAGCTACCATTTAATCCAGCAATCACACTCCTGGGCATATAACCACAGGAAACAAAATTACTGTCTTAAAGACGTTCCCATAATATTACAGCTTAATTCACTTCAGCCCAGACATGGAAACATCCAAAATGTCCATTGATGGATAAATGGATATAAAAAAATGTGGGATACATACACACACACACACACACACACACACACACACACACACACACACAATATTATTCAGCCCTAAAAAGAGAAGGAAACCATGTCATTTGTGACAAACTGAATGAATAGACAGTAGAATGGTGCTTACCAGGGACTTGGGGGTGGGAGAAAAGGGAGGACATTGGTTAAAGGCTGCAAATATGCCATTAGAAGATGATTAAGTGCTTGGGACCTAACGTAGAGCATGGTTGCAGATCCTCATCCATAAAATGGGACTAAGTCCTGCACCTGATCCTGTTGCTACCTCAACTAATGCGCACACCGGTGCTGGCTGGGATGTCTGGCTAAGCCACTGGCTGGAGCATGATAGGGGCTGACAGGAGAGGATGCCCAGGTGACCAGGTGGCAGATGCTCTACTTCTCAAGCCAGTGTTTGCTCTCAGTTGGGCTCTTTGTCAGAAGACTGCCCCTGGGAGTCCTGGGACTCTGTGGTTTCTGAGCAGAGTGTGTCCTCAAATCTGTTTATTCTTTAAGTCAGTGAAAATGCTTCTTTGTCACCTGAGTAGAATAGCAATGCAAGCCCTGTGTGGGGAACTTGGAACGCACAGAGGAGGGTGGAGAGGAAGTTCGTCACCATCCTCCTGCCAAAGAGAACCGCTGACAACAGTTTCCCATATTCCCAGTACTTTTCTATGATATGGAAATAAAATGAAGAGCTCACTATCCTTGCTTATTTTTGTCTTCTGATTTTCACTTAAAATTCGATGGCAGGTACTTTCCCATCCTTACAGATATTTAATAATCACTATCTCAGTGCCGAACAAAGCTCCATCTTAGGTGTAGAAGACTCTCACACTCTGCTACCTATCAGACCATTATTCAATATGTAAGTAACACTGAGATGAACATATATGCACTTATATCTGCAGTTTTATCAATTTTCCCAGGATCTGTTTTTAGATGAGGGAGTCCATGTAGAAAGATAAGAGCAATTTCAAAGTGATAGGCTTGGGTTACCAAAGAGCTTTCCAGAAGGGGCATTCCCATTTTAACTCCACTGGAAGAAAGACAAAGTCCTTCTCTCTCTCTCTCTCTCTCTCTCTCTCTCTCTCTCTCAGTACTCAGTACAGGGGATTGAACCCAGGGGCATTGAACCACTGAGCCACATCCCCAACCCCTATTATATTTTATTTAAAGACAGGGTCTCACTGAGTTGTCCAGGGCCTTGCTAAGTTGCTGAGGCTGGCTTTAAACTTGCAATCCTCCTGCCTCAGCCTCCTGAGCCTCTAGGATTACAGGTGTGCAACACTTCTCTCTTTATTCCCCCACCCACTTGCCCTGAGAGTAAAAGCAACCTTCATTAATATCTAAGTCTGGGACTAATAGTTCTCTAAGGATTTGCTTCCAAGGCATCTTTGGACCTGGAGAAACAAGCCCAGGTACTGCATCTCCCCTGAGTTTCCTGTGAGCTCAGGTCTCCTGAGAAGAGGACAGTCAGTAGGAAAATTCATCCAAATGTTGGGGAAACACACACAGTTGCAACAGAAGCCAAGTGGAGGGCATATTCTGTGCTTTCAAAAGATCTTAGTTGTGCGTCTGAGCCAAAGGTGACCTCCTCCCACACAGGGATGGGCCTCAAGACTGTGCCCTTATTTTTGAGCTAATGCTTCAAATTCTTGTGCTTTGAAACCCATTTTTTTCCCATGCATGAAGTTAGTACTGGCAGAGAAAGTCAATTAGTTTCTCAGACAGTTTCATTAAGACTTGTTACAGAAGTGGAGTCGAGACAAATTGAGTCAAGGATTCAGCTTGTGTGTTTATTTTTCCACCACAATCAATAGTGTTTGGTCTGCTTAATGTCACATCGACTAGGGACCCCGAGCCTTCCTCTTCTAAGAGAACCGTTTAACTTTAAGGAGAGAGAAACTTTAAAACTTTCTGTTCCAAATTCCATCTGATGTTGTGGAAACAGACTTTTCTGGTGGTTATATGAAAGTGCTTCCCCCCGAACAGAACCCTCCCCTGTGATGACAGTAACCACACAAGCCAGTTTGTTAACAGAACCTATCAGGAGTGTTACCAACCAAATACTGAGTGGTCCAAGGCCCGTGCAGGCTCTCGGGACTGAGAAGAAAATAAACATTTCAGGGGAAATGAAGGCAATTTTGAATGCCAGATAAAAATCCAGAAACCCATCAGATCCATTTTTGATTCACAGATTTTGTTTAATGAATTTATTAAATTAAATGCTCCTTCAAATCAATAGATGCAGTTGCATTTTTAGAAACAGTCCGGAGCAGATGAATCATTCTAATTCTTGGTTCAGTGTAACAATGACTTTGTCTTCCCCTCCTTGACATTAGCCCCCCCCTCAGCTCCCCAGCCTCATGGTCCCCGCAGGTGCAAGACCAGCCTGTGACCCAGCCCTGAGCACTCTCAATGTCATTGGGTGATTGATGGATCAGCTTTTCCAGTCTTTAAACATTATTTTACTTTTCTAATTTTTCAACCTTTTTTGTTTGTTCTTTTTAGATACACCTGACAATAAGAGTGGATTTTGATATATTAGAGCTAGATGGAGTAGAACTTATTCTAAACAAGATCCCATTCTTGTGGTTGTGCATGATGTGGAGTTTCACTGATGGTGTATTCATACATGAACATAGGAAAGTTATGTCAGATTTCTTCTTATTCAATATTTTTTTGTCTTAATTCCATGTTGTCTCAATTCATGTGAATAATATACATCCATCAGAATGGAAGAAACTCAGGTAACTTTCCTATGGTTTTAATAAGACACAAAAATCTACCTTAGTCAGCCTTTTTTTTTGATGATTTGTTCATTGGTCTGTTCTTTTAATTTCCATTTTCTTAATTTCACTTCTCATAAAAGATGAGGATAACATTTCATGTCTAATTCGCTGTCAACTTCACCATCAAAAAATAAAATAGAAAAAAATATTTTTAAAGCAGGAATGAAAGAAATTAGGCTCACCAAAGGAAGACTTTCATCTCTTGGAATTAAAAACTTTAAAGTGTTAAATGAGCTTTGGGTCATTATTTGTTCTTTGGAACGAAAATTGTACTCCTGCAGAAATAGTCAATTAAAATTTTGCTCATTAATTAGCAAATATTTATTTATGAATCATATTGTCAATCCCACAGGAACAAAAAACACACAAATGACTCCCAAAAAAATTGTTTGGTCTCTCTCTCTCTCTCTCATAAAAGAAAAATGTCTTCTTCCTCAGGGCAAAGAATCTGTTATTCTGTGTAGCTTTCAGAAGGGAGGTCACACTTTTTTATTGATTTTGCTTCCTATTTGGTAGCAAAATAATGTGAGAAGAGGCAGCGAACATTCCTGGCGACAAGCCCAGATGTTCAGAAATATGTGTCAGGACATTTTCTGAATTCCATCTTTTTCCCAGAAATTTCATGGCAGATGGGCTCCCTCTGCCCTAGGTCAGAGATGCAGCCACGTGCGTACCTGCACTGTGGGAGGGAGCTCTGAAGGCAACTCATTTCTTACAAACCCAGGCCAGTGGATTCCAGATGTGTGCTCAGAATTCCTCAGCAGCCCCACTGCATGGAGAGGTGGCTCCAGCCAGGGGTTCCTGGGAATCTACCACCACAGCATCAGCAGGCCACTGGTGGGAGCTCCTGTCTGGCCCCTATTTTTACAAAGAGGTAGGGAAAAGGCTGGTATTGTTCTTATGAAGGTTGAAGGAATGGAGAAGGAATTTGGAAGAGTGCAGTGTGGTTAACTTGCCCTGAAATTATTTTGATCTTCATTCTTCAGGCAACATCAGGAACACTGAGAAGCTCAGCTATGACAAGCAACGCCAGTATGAGATCCTGGTGACAGCGTATGACTGTGGACAGAAGCCTGCTGCTCAGGACACCCTGGTGCAGGTGGACGTGAAGCCAGTTTGCAAGCCTGGCTGGCAAGGTGGGCCTGGTTTCATCAGTCCTGTTACCTGAAGGCATCTTAGCCTGGTATAAAGGGGCTACCATCTGTGTCCCCAAATCATTATAACACAATGGAAAGGATGTTTTAAATGTAATGGTTTTGCTGCAAGAAATAGTTTGTTTTCACACTTCTTAGATGATTTATTATTTTACCAGCTGAGAATCTCAGAGGAAACTTCTCTAAGGTCGGTGCTCCCTTTCTCAAACCTGATGACATTTCCAAAATAATAGTCATTGTCCCACAGCGATGACAAGGAATTGCCAGTGAGCCCACCTACTTGATCCCAGGGTACTCAGCTGGGCTGGTGCACCTTAGATTTCTACCCCTGATGGATACCTTGGGAAGGTCGCCATGTTGCTTGCACTCAGATCATGGGTGGGGGATGCAGGTGACAGCCTCTGAGTAGGTGGGTTTCTAAAAGGTTGACTCAGGGAATGGAGAAGCAATGGCTTTTGATGAAGTGGGTTTTTGTGTCAATGTAGATCTTTTAGGGACAAAGACAGAGCAGGTATTCCAATTACCCTTAGGCCGTGGGCTCTGTCACTGACCTTAGGGTATGAAAAGAAGGCAAGGCCAACTGCTTAGGGGCATCTTGCAGAGAACTGGGCAGCTCATGGTGTTAGGTTGGGCACTGTCGACCAAAGGAGGCAGATTAAAACCAGCTGAACAAGGATTTACTGAGCTTCGCTCCTGGGTGAGACCCTGCAGTCCAACAGAACGGGTCTAGGGGAGTCACACCCAGGCTCAGCTGGACTGGAATTTTATTGGGCTTATTGCAGGAAGGAAGGGCTTGGGACAGGAAAGGGAGGTTTTTAGGGTCCCTTGTCCTCCTAGGGCTGGTGGAGGGATCCTGCTGAGCTCCATGTCCTTCCAGGACTAGTCAGGAGACCCCGCTGATTGACAGGAGGTTATCACTGCTTGTCTGGGCACCTGATTGGCTGTTCTTTCACACGTGCGGGTTACCTGGTGCTTTGTTCCCTGAATCACCTCAAAAGGACCTAACACACGGAATAATGATAACTCCCTTGGTGATGGGCCTGGTGCCTGAGCAGGGAGGTCAATGTCCATCTCTGTGTCCCTGTGTGGGTGCTTGAAGGGACATCTCTTCACGTGTTGGTGATGCTCCAGGCTTTTGTGTCTTCCTGGATGTGTCTTTAGGCCTCTGGCCCCTTTTATATTCTTTCTTCTCTTTAGGCAGACCATGGCCAGGTCACCCTGTAGGTCCCTGGTTAGACTTCCAGTGGCTGCCTTTTAGTCAGGCATTCATTCCCAGTCCCTTTTCTCAGGGCCACATGGGTCAGGTACAGCACAAGACACCTGAACCTCAGCTGCCTGGGTTCCAGCACAGTGATGCAAGCCTGGAATCCCAGCAACTCAGAAGAATTGCAAGTACAAGGCCAATCTCGGCCATTTAGGGAGACCCTGTCTCAAAATTAGAAAAATAAAAAGGATTGGGGATGTGGCTGAGTGATGGAGTGCCCCAGGTCCCATCTCCAGTACCAGAAAGAGAAGGAAGGGAGGGAGGGAGAGAGAAAAGGAGGGAGGGAAGGAAGGGGAGGGGAGGGGAGGGGAGGGGAGGGGAAAGGGTGACTGAATGAGTGAACAAAAAGCTATCTAAGTAAAGAACTCATCTTGTTTTATTTTTACATAAGGATCAGCAGTAAAGGCCTGGCCTTTCAAGAGAAAACTCTAGAAAGAATCTATACATTTCCAAAGGGTGGAATGTGCTCACAGTGGGATTTTAAATAGGAAAGGCAAAAAGCAAAGCCATATCTGGAGAATGATCCTGATGTTTTTTTGGTCTTTGACAAATGAGGCGCCCACGGATTTGGGATTCCTTGTTTATACCTATATTTAAATGTAATCTTTACAGAGTGTGTACTTGCTAAACCTATGCAAATGTAATGTTAAGTCTACGCAAAGAAAATCTTGGCCACGATGTCCAATTCTGTGTGAGAAACGTGCTGAGCGCCCACCCTGCAGTGCCCAGTGTGGTCAGCAGCTCCTGGAGATCCAGGGTTATGCCGTGGGCGGTTTTGTCTCCAGGGCTCAGCACAGGACCAGGCACAGCATGGGCACGCGCAGTGCAGAGCAGATGAATGAATGGGCAGTAAAACCTTGGTGGAAAAATGTACCTTTTCCTGCCCAGGAGGCTGAGGCAGGAGGATCGTGAGTTCAAAGCCAGCCTTGGCTATTTAACGATGCATGCACTTGGTCATGGACAGGCTCTCCAGGGATACTGACCTGTGTAGCAGTGGTCACGGTGCCTCCCTGCCTTAGGGGAGCTAGCCCCCCTCCAGCACCCTCATGAACTCTTCTGCTTGGGCAGCATTTACATCAACCTCCCATCCTGGGCCTATTACCTGCACCCTAAAGGGCTGCACTCTCAGAAGTACACTCTTCTCCAAGAAAGAACTGACCACAGCTGGTCCCAGCCCTGTGTCTCCTGCCTGGCCCCTTCTCCCAGCTTCATAGGAGTAAACTGGGACAGTGTATCCAACTGTTTTTTTGCTACCCTCAGGTAAAGCAGGCTGCCCTGCCTATGAGAGGGAGTCAGACGCCCCAGTCAGGTGTGCCTGGGGTAGACGAGGCTCCTGCTAAGTCACCTCAACTGGATGTCTCTGTCCCCTTGTACCATCCATCTCCTGCCACCTGGAGGAAATAGAGCAG